CGGGCAGCAGGAGCCCCTCCCAGCAGAGGAGGCCGCCCCCCAGCGGCCGCAGCTCCCGCACCCCGCGGCAGCCCCGCGCCTCCTGCAGCTCCTGCGGGTGGGCGGGGCCGTGGGCGGGGCCTCCACGGACACGCCCACGCGGGGCGGGGCTTGGGCCGCCCGGCCCCGACGGGGCGGCCCCGGCCGGGAAGCGAAACTGCCGCTCCCGGCGGGGCTCGGCCCCGGCCTCTGCCCCCGGCACCGCCACACCCGGTACCGGCAGCCCCGCAACCCGGTACCGGCACCCCCAGAGCCTGGTACCGGCATCCGCCCTGGTACTGACACCTCCCAGAACCCGGTACCGGCACCCCTGTCCCGGTTCCAGCACTCCCCAGAACCTGGTACCAGCACCCGCACCCCGGTACCGGCACCCCCAGAACCCGGTACCGCCATCCCTCCCTCGGTACCGGCACTCCCACAACCCGCTGCCATCACGCCCGCCCCGGTACCGGCACCCCCAGCCTTGAGAGCGCCCCGAGCACAACCCCAACCCCGGTACCGGCGCCGCCGCACCCCGGTACCGGCGCCCCTTGCACCCTGCCACCGGCACCCTCATGCCACCGCTGGCAGCGGGTGGGACGTGCCGGTACCGCCGCCGCCGCCGGGCGGGCCCCCGAACCGGCCCAGCGCCCCGAGCGGAGCCCACCTTGGCCAGCCTCCTGTTGAGGTCCATGGCCCGGCCCGCCCGCGGCTCTCCTGGGCGGGGCCACGCGCAGGCCACGCCCCGTGGGCGGGGCGCTTGGCTCCAGCCCCGCCCCGAGCACCGAGGGGTGGGGGTGACTTGGCCATGGGCTCCCCCGTGGGCTCCCGGGGCTCACAGGCACGGGTGGGTTGAGGGGCCCGACCTCGTGCCCGTGTCCCGCAGGCTGGGGAAGCTCCTTGGAGGCGCTTGGAGCCCCACCAGCCCCCCGGGGTGTCCAGGGCCCTCCCGGGCGTGGGGCGGGAGGGCAGTGGGGACTGTGCCCACAAGTTGGGACTGTTCCCCCAAGCCCTCGTGCCCGGGCCCATGGAGAGGAGGAGCTGCGGCAGCCAGACCCACACGTGGCCCTGGGGCAGCGACTGGTGGCACTGGGGGTGTTGGGGGTCAGCAGGGAGCGCCTGGGGCCGGGGGTTCTCCGGGTGGGTGCCACCCCGCGCACCCCGCCTGGGGGCTGCTTTGCAACGCGAGGTTGTTGACCCTGCTGCTGCCCTGGTCCCTGCTCCGTGACCGTGTGGTGCCAGCCCTGGAGCGCGGGGACGCTGGACACGGCCGCCCCACGCGGGTGACAGAGAAAGGAGCCCCCTGGCCCAGGCCACCCCTGGGGTGTCACAGCACCCGGGCCTCCCTCCAAGGCTCTTGGGGGTCATGGAGACAAGGGTGGGGAGCAGGAGACTGAGGGGCTAAACTGTCCATTGTCCCCACAGCGCCCACAGAGACGGGGCAGTTGAGGGGCTAGAGTGCCCGTTGTCCCCACAGCGCCCATAGAGAAGGGGCAGTTGAGGGGCTAGAGTGCCCGTTGTCCCCACAGCGCCCATAGAGACGGTGCAGGTGAGGGGCTAAATTGCCCCTTGTCCCCACAGCACCCATAGAGACGGGGCAGTTGAGGGGCTAGAGTGCCCCTTGTCCCCACAGCGCCCAYAGAGACGGGGCAGTTGAGGGGCTAAATTGCCCCTTGTCCCCACAGCGCCCATAGAGAGGGGGCAGTTGAGGGGCTAGAGTGCCCCTTGTCCCCACAGCGCCCATAGAGACGGGGCAGTTGAGGGGCTAAATTGCCCCTTGTCCCCACAGCACCCATAGAGACGGGGCAGTTGAG